TAAAATTTAAGAAAACCTCATCTGATCGTGAAAAAAATAAAACACACAAGTAAAGTACACTGGGAATAATAAAAGGGCTGCAGAGAACTTCCCTGGTGGTCCGGTGGTTAAGAATCCTCCTGCCAATGCAGGAAGCACAAATTGGATCCCATGTCCGGGAGGATTCCATATGCCACGAGGCACCTGAGCCCATCCTCCACAACTATTAAGCCCACATGCCACAACCACCCGAGCCCCCTAGACCTGGTGCTCTGCAACAAGAGAAGTCACAGCGACAAGAAATCTGCGTACGGCGACTAGAGAATAGCCCCTGCTCACTGCAACCAGAGCAATCCCTGCTCATCACCTGCTAGAAGCAAGGAAGACCCAGTGTAGCAAAAAAATAAAATAAAGGACTGCAGATAACATGGAACTTTAAAAAAAATTAATAAAACACTATGCCTAACTTCATAGCACTAAATTTAAGTTTAAAGTTTACAGGAAATAGCTGATTTTCTAGGAAAATACAAAGGATCGAACCTGACTCAGGAAGAAGTAATATAGCCTTGGTTGGTCAAATATTTCCAAATACATTTTACTAGTCTTCTGTTCTGTTGATTTTTTTATGGTGTCATTAGCCATACAAAATTTCTCACACCCCAAAACCATACAAATATTCTCCTATAATTCTTTCTTACAATTTATAGTTTCTTAAATTCTTCAGTTATTTTTGGTGTGAAGTAGAGTTCTACCTTTATCTTCCTCCAGCTAGATAGTCCACTCTGTCAATATAATTTATTAACCTAAGAGCTCCTATCACTTAATTTAAAAATATACAAATGGTTTACTATAAAAATTAGCCAGAGATTGGAATATGTATTTGATTGAGAAGGAAATGACCAATAAATCATGAAAAAATACTAGTACCATTTTTGTTTAATCAAAACAATCATGAGATAGTTTTTCACCTATCATATTGGCAAGTATTTAAAGTTTGATCATTTTTAGTGATGGTGAGGATACAAGAAAAAGGCAATTCAAGGTTACTGGTGAAATCAGAAATTTGCACAGCCTTTCTGGAGTCACTTTGGCCATACTTACAGAATTTTTTAAACGTACCTTTGAACTAACAGTCTTCATTCTAAGTATCTGTCATGAAATTCTCACACATGTACACAAATGTGTGTATACAAGACTGTTGATTGGACTATTTTATTAGCCAGAAACATTGAGAACCACTTAAATGTCTGTAGTAGAGTACAGTAGACTGAGATGATGGAATCCTATGCACTACGGTGAAAAATGGGCTATGTCTATATTAATATGAAAAGATGTCTAATATATAGTAGGTGAAAAATGCACATTGCCTATATATACTCTGAGGCTGTTTTTGTAAGAGTAAAATCTCCAAACTATTTTATAATTAACAACCTCCTTCCTTTAAAAAAAAACAAACTTATGATTGATTGAAGTAAAACACATATACAGAAGATTATGCAAGGGGCATACCTGAGTTACCACCACCCAGACCAAGGAGTGAATCATTATCTAGGAGTCTGGAGCACAAGAGAAAGTTCCAGGCTAAAGGCAGAGACTTGGGAGTTAGCATAGGAAAGCAATTGAATATTGTCAAAATCAAATAAGGACATCCAAGGAAAAGGTAGAAATTCGGGGGTCGGGGGGTGGGGCAGGAAGGTATAAAGTGGAAAATGTGAGGGCTGAGGACTCGGGGTACATTAAAGCTTAAGGGGTAGGGACAGTGTACTGGATCTGCAAAGGAGACTGAGAAGGATGCCCAAGATAAGAACCCTGAAAGAGACAAGATAGTGGAGTAGAAGGATGGGAGCTCACCTCTTCTTAGGAAAACACCAAAGTCACAAATAACTGCTGAACAACCAGCAACACAAAAAGCCACTTTGTTGTTATTGTTCAGTCACTGGAACCTACTAAAAATGATATCCAACTTCCAAAGACAAAGAAGCCACAGCAAGATGGTCAGAGGGGCACAATTCAGTTCAATTGCTCAGTTGTGTCTGACTCTTTGTGACCCCATGGACTGCAGCACACCAGGCCTTCCTGTCCATCACCAACTCCCTCTAAAGGCAGGAGGAGAAGGGGACAACAGAGGATGAGATCAACCATCTCATCCTCTGTTGTCCCCTTCTCCTCCTGCCTTCAATCTTTCCCAGCATCAGGGTCTTTTCTAGTGAGTCAGTTCTTCCCATCATGTGGCCAAAGTTTTGGAGTTTCAGCTTCATCAGTCCCTCCAATGAGTATTCAGGACTGATCTCCTTTAGGATGGACTGGTTGAATCTCCTTGCAGTCCAAGAGATTCTCAAGGGTCTTCTCCAGTATCACAGTTCAAAAGCCTCAATTCTTCAGCACTCAGCTTTCTTTATAGTCCAACTCTCACATCCATACATGACCTCTGGAAAAACTATAGCTTTGACTAGACGGACGTTTATCAGCAAAGTAATGTCTCTGCTTTTTATTATGCTGTCTAGGTTTGTCATAGCTTTTCTTCCAAGCAGCAAGCGTCCTTTAATTTCATGGCTTCAGTTACCATCTGCAGTGATTCTGGAGCCCCCCAAAATAAAGTCTATCACTGTTTCTGTTGTTTCCCCATCTATTTGCCATGAAGTGATGGGACCGGATACCATGATCTTAGTTTTTTGAATGTTGAGTTTTAAGCCAAATTTTTCACTCTCCTCTTTCACTTTCATCAAGAGACTCGCAAAGGAAAAAAGGAAAGATATACCCATTTGAATACAGAGTTCCAAAGAATAGCAAGGTGGGATAAGAAAGCCTTCCTCATTTTTCTTTAAGCTGATTAGTTATGTTTTATAATACTCTTCTGAATGTATAATAAATTTTTCAATAATTAAAAAAAGAAAAAAGAAAGCCTTCCTCAGTGATCAGTGCCAAGAAATAGAGGAAAACAATAGAAAGGGAAAGACTAGAGATCTCTTCAAGAAAATTAGCAATACCAAGGGAAAATTTCATGCAAAGATGGGCACAATAAAGGACAGAAATGGTATGGACCTAACAGAAGCAGAAGATATTAAGAGGAGGTGGCAAGAATACACAGAAGAACTATACGAAAAAGATCTTCATGACCCAGATAACCACGATGGTGTGATCACTCACCTGGAGCCAGACATCCTGGTATGTAAAGTCAAGTGAGCCTTCAGAAGCATCACACCAACAAAGCTAGTGGAGGTGATAGAATTCCAGTTGAGATACTTCAAATCTTAAAAGATGATGCTGTGAAAGTGCTGCAGTCAACATACCAGCAAATTTGGAAAACTCAGCAGTGGCCACAGGACTGGAAAAGGTCAGTTTTCATTCTAATCCCAAAGAAAGGCAATGCCAAAGAGTGCTCAAACTACCGCACAATTACACTCACCTCACATGTTAGAAAAGTAATGATCAAAATCCTCCAAGCCAGGCTTCAACAGTATGTGAACCATGAACTCCCAGATGTTCAAGCTGGATTTAGAGAAGGCAGAGGAACCAGAGATCAAATTGCCAACATCTGCTGGATCATCAAAAAAGCAAGAGAGTTCCAGAAAAACATCTACTTCTGCTTTATTGACTATTCCAAAGCCTTTGTGTGGATCACAACAAACTCTGGAAAATTCTTAAAGAGATGGAAATACCAGACTACCTGACATGCCTGCTGAGAAATCTGTATGCAGGTCAAGAAGCAACAGTTAGAACTGGAAAAGGAACAACAGACTGGTTCCAAATCGGGAAAGGAGTATGTCAAGGCTGTATATTGTCACCTTGCTTATTTAACTTATATGCAGCGTACATCAGGCGAAATGCTGGGTTGAATGAAGTACAAGCGGGAATCACGATTGCCGGGAGAAATATCAATAAACTCAGATATGCAGATAACACCACCCTTATGGCAGAGGGGCACAATCGTGGCAAAATCAAATCCCATCCCTTCCAAATCATCAGCCTACAAACTAGATTCCCAGGAAAGTGTGAGGGCTGAGGACTTGGGGTACATTAAAACGTAAGGGGTAATCATCAGGTGGTCTCTCCACCACCTGAGACAATCTGAGCTGGCCCAGCAGAGGCTCGGAGTCCTGGAGTGCCATCCAGATACACCGGTGGGATGCTGTCGATATACTTTGTATCCCACGACCCTGTAACTCTGGCCACAACTGCCTGAACCAGAGATCTTGGCCCAGGTCTCTGTGCCAGCTCTCAGTAAGGGTCCAGGCGTGGTCTCCTTGAAGCACACACACACACAAGTACAAAGTAGTGGGTCAACAGAGAATCCAACACGGAGAGAGAAGCCAGTAACAGGCGTGTGGCTGGGAGGAAACCGTGGTGGAGAAAAACAGCCAGAAAGCGGGCAGCTTGAGGAAGTCACGAAAAGGCAACAGGAGCGGGGGAGAGTGCGGTGCGAGCCCCGGGCAAGCCTCCCATTCCTGAAAGCCCATCTGTTTGCAGCCCAACGGGCTCAGTCCCCTCGCCGCACGCACTCGCCTTCCCACAGGTGACCCGGAGCCCGCCAGGTCAGAGACGCAATGCCATCGCCTGGGCACAGTGTCTGAGTCACGCTTGCCTCTTGTCACATCCTTGTCCATTTCCCCCAACGTTTGACACGAAAGGCTTTTCTGATAGGCTGTCTCCGCGGTGGCCTCAGTACGGCTGACTCTCTAGGGGGTCAGGATTATATAAACAGTTGCTGCCGGGGGCACCTGGTCTCAGACGGGAGGAGCGACATCTCTGCCACCGCGGCTGCCCGGTCCCGAGGCGGGGTAAGCGCTCCTGAACGTGACAGTTCGCTGGGCGCGCCGCCCTCCGCCCGGTTCTGACCGACCCTCCCGTGTCGTTTCATCCCACGCGGGTGGGCCAGGGACCCAGGGCGGGAGAAGGGCGGTGGTGGGACGAGGGGTCGGGGGCGGCGGGCTGCAGCTGGGAACGGCTGGCCCTTCGGCCCTGTCATCAGAAGGCCTCCCCCCCGCTCTTTTCAAAGGTCCGGGTCGCCCGCGCGCCGCCCCATGCACCTCTGCCTCGGCCGGCGGATCGGCCGCGGTGACCCGCGGCCCCGGCCGGCCTTCCGCTCCTGTCTGGCACCATCTCCCGAAGCCCGGAGACCCAGGAAGCGGGTGGTGTTCGCAGACACCAAGGGGCTCTCTCTGACGTCCGTGCACAGCTTTGAGGATGCTGTGGGCGCAGACTCAGAGAAGGACTCCTGCGGTGGGTCCAGGGGCGCGCGCCCCGCACCGCCCAGCTCGCCAAAGCCAGGACCCTCGGTTCCGAGCCGCCCGGCCCCGGGCAGGACTCCGGGGTCCGCCGAGGCGTCTGCAGACCCCACGGAGGCCCGGAGCAGTGCGCGCGGCCGGGGGCCTCCCGCGAGGCGCCGTGCGGGCTCAAGGACTAGGTTTCCAGAAGGTGCCGACCGTGCGCATCGCCCTGGGTGCCTGGGGCTCGGTCTTTGAAGCGCCGCGACTCACGCGCCCGGTCCTGAAGGAACCGGCAGCTTCGCCCTCTGCGCGGGGTTGCCGCGAGGTCCCCCGAGCTGGGGGAATCATCCAGTTGTGCTTCTCTTAAGAGTGTGCTCAGCCGCTTTCAGCGGACGGTGATCAAGGTCAGAGTCGCTGCTCGACACCCAGTTCACCGCCCTTCCCATCAGAATGAAACCGAACTCTTCGAGGGCGCGCAGACCGGAGTCCTCGCGGGTTACTTTCTCTGCGTCAAGCGAGAATCCCTGGCCAGGGTGTGCGCCTTTCCGATTTCCCCTGGAGCCCGTCTCGGACTCTTCCAGCATCACTGTGGGGAGAGGAGACAAAGGCAACTCCTAGCCCCCCAGTAAGCCTTGAATGCCTTGCATTCTTATCTCTCAAAGAAAGATGCGGCCAATGGCCCCCTTCACCCTCTGCAGAGAAGCCAAATATAAACAAAGCTTTTGCATATAATTACTTCAAAGGCCTGGAAGAGAGTGTCTGTAAGCAAGGTGCGGTGGCTAGGCGAGATGGGGAGGGGAGGGGAGACTGAACGCAGAAATGAGCTCTTTTACTTCCCTCTCCCTTTGGAAAGGGCTTATTTTCTGGTAGTTTCTTCAGCTTTTTCTTTTGGCCAGCCCTGCGGCACGTGGGATCTTAGTTCCCCAGGCCAGCGATGGAACCTCATCATTGCCTGCACTGGAAGTGCAGAGTCTTAACCACAGGACAGCCTGGGAAGTCCCTTGCTTCTTCAACTTTTGCCAAAAGAAATGTTTGTTGAAGCATTTTCAAGCTGTAAGCAACTGACCTTTCTCCTCTTCAGCAGATACGAGTCTAGGACAAGTTGTCTACCTCAAAATAGGCACACTTAAAAAAATTAATGCTTACACCTGCAATGCAGGAGATGCAGGTTCCATCCCTGGGTGGGGAAAATCCCCTGGAGGATGAAATGGCAACTCACTGTGGTATTCTTGCCTGGAGAATCCCATGGCCAGAGGAGCCTGGCGGGCTAGAGTCCATGGGGTTGGATACGACTGAGCAAGTAAGCATGCACCTTTTTTAAACTATAATTTACTGAGGCCAGAAGGCTGACCTTTGCTTCTGTGGACACCCACACTTTCCCTCTTGTATTTACCACCCTGTATTGAAACTGTCCACTGAACTGTCACCTCTGTAAAATAAAGAATGCTGCCCACCATCCGGTTCTACAAGAATCAAGTCATTAGCCACTACAGTAGCTGGTCTACACTACACCCTGAAAGGAATTCAGGGCGAAAATCAGGATGAGGTACTCTGTGCTCCAGGAAAACAGGGCAGATGAGCCATTAGAAAGTTAGAAATATTGCAGGAGAAATTTTCTACGAACCTGGATTCTTGCATCTTCGTCTACTTAGAAAAGCACTAAAATCATTAACTGAGATACATGCTCCTCGTGACCAGCAGCGATCTTCTACTGAGACGTATGCTTGAATGCATGTATCCTTTTGCCAAAATCATATATATACTGACCTGATCTCTTCAGAGCAGTTCCTCAGAGCTATCTGAGAGGCTGTCTCCCTGGCTACAGTCCTCAGTAAGTTCTCCAATCAAACTGAAACTCATGGCTCTCACATGGTGGGTTTTTATTTCAGTCAACACCTCCTTCAGGTCTGGAAAGGCTGCTGTGTACACTGCTGGCCCCAGACTGGCCACCCCTGACATGCTCAGAATGTGTGCGTTGGGATAATACATAAATTTTTAGTGTGTGTGCCAAGTATGCTTCTAGCTTCAGTTTACAATGGTCTGAGATCTCTAGTCTTTGGAAGACTTTACCCTCTTTTCAGAGATTGTTCATTCTCTCAGATTATTGTTCATGGATGACAAATTTTAAATAAATGTGTCTAAAAAAAACCTTTAGCTCTTCTGATCCTTGACTTCTTGGGTTACAATTGTCTGTAATTGCTGTGCCGGAAGCAGGCTATATAAATACAGTCATAGTGGTTGAGCAAGAAGCATGTTCTTTATTTGTTTTTCTCCCTAAAGGGCCTGCCCCAGCCTACTCTATAAAATAACCAAGTGGTTAACAGCATAAAGACAGAGACAGCAAAACACACAGTCTTCCAGAGACAGTTTAAACACAGAGCGGCTTCCTCATCCAAAAAGGGAGGCTACTGTATACACGCCGGATTCCTCCCAGTCTCTTTATCCTGCCTCTGGTCCTGACTCCATTAAGTAATCAGGAATAAGGTGAGTGGTCCCCACAGAATGTGTTGTCAGGATTGGGGGGGAGGGCACTTTCTGAAATTAAAGTTAGTAAGAGTTGTCCATGAAAAATATAGTCAATTGACTATTAATCAATAGTCAATCTAAGAAAAAAAATGGAAATTTTATTTGCGCCAACCTGAGGATTGTAACCCAGGAGATGGCCTTTTAGAAGCCTCTAAGGACTCTTGTAAAGGCAAAGGAAGAAGCCCGTATATAGGTGATTTTGGCAGCTGGTTTTCAAGCACTCATCTTGGTAGAAGGTTACTGCTGTTCTCGAAGAACAGACATCTTTCTTAGTGATTTTAGTGCTTCTCTAACTATGGGAAGGTGCAAGAAAATGGATTCATATAATTTTCTCCTTGAAGATGTCTGACTACTTGAGGGCCAGTTCTGCCAGTTTTCCCAGAGTGGAAAGTGCCTCATCCTGATCTTTGCCCAGAATTCCTTTCAAGATGTCCTGTAGGTCAGCAGCTGCAGTGGCTAGTGACTTGATTCTTGTTGCACTGGATGGTGGGCAATATTCTTTACTTTATAATCCCTTCCCTTTCAGTCTTAATTTTGATCAAGGTTTGGGAAGCTTTTGTGACTAGTCTGTCCCACGGCACTTGGAATGCTCACTCCCAGGTAAGACAAGGATTTTGTTGAAAGGCCTATCAGTGGGCTATGACTACATTTGGCCCTGTTAATAGAAGCTCAAAGCCTCTGGATTGCCAGGCTTACTAGTCTCTTGTGGTCCAGAAATGTTTCCCTCTTGCTGTTTCCTCCTTTACCTAGAGTTATAATGTATTCTAATCATTGATTTATAGAATTATATATTTGATCAAGGGCTTGCCAGGTGGCACTACTGGTAAAGAACCCACCTGCTAATGCAGGAGATGTAAGAGATGTGGGTTCAACCCCAGTGTCAGGAAGATCACCTGGAGGAGGGCATGGCAACCCACTCCAGTATTCTTGCCTGGAGAATCCCATGGACAGAGGAGCCTGGTGGGCTACAGCCATAGGGTTGCAAAGAGTCGAACATGACTTTACCCCCCACACACATATTTGAACAATCATTTCAGGTTATCTAATCATCATCAATTATATTTGAAATTCAGTCACACATTTGCAAGAAACAAGTCTTATAAAATTAGCAGAATACAAGTAATATCACTAGAGGCATTAATAAGGTCATAAGTAGGTATTTAAGAATGTCCATTAGGTGTGTCCCTAGTGGGACACCCAGTGTCTCCCCAGGTCGTCTGACCAGTCTGTTCTTACAAGTTTCTACCTTTAAGGGATGTGATCTATTGGCATTGGACATAAAGCTCACCAAAGATGTCTGTAGGTGCAAGGTGAGTGGTGGGTCATCATGATCCCTTACAAGACTGAGAAAGGAATGTTATCATCTAAGGAATGTTATCTTCTGGCTGGATCCAGAAGAAGAAAAATGGATCTTCTTGGTTGAGCAGGTATTTCTGCCATTGGAGAGGTCTAGTTAATTCATAATGCAGATGACCAATGCACACTGGAGGGGAGAGAGGAGACCCAAAAGGACAGATTTTATAGTTATTTTATGTTTAAATTTTTGTTTATGTTTATGTATGTGTTATGTTTATTTTATATTTATGTTTATTTTCTAGTTTGTTTTATTTTATTTCCATTATTAAAATTTAAATTTCTCTTGTCTTGCCTTAAAATGTGAAACATTATCTCATCAGTGTCAACAGGAAAAATGAGTAGCCAGCTATAATGGTGACTTACCCCTACAATGTGAAAGTGAAAGAGGAGAGTGAAAAAGTTGGCTTAAAGCTCAACATTCAGAAAACTAAGATCATGGCATCTGGTCCCATCACTTCATGGCAAGTAGATGGGGAAACAGTGGAAACAGTGGCTGACTTTCTTTTTCTGGGCCTCAAAATCACTGCAGATGGTGATTGTAGCCATGAAATTAAAAGATGCTTACTCCTTGGAAGGAAAGTTATGACCAACCTAGACAGCATATTAAAAAGAAGAGACATTACTTTGCCAACAAAGGTACATTTAGTCAAGGCTATGGTTTTTCCAGAGGTTATGTATGGATGTAAGAGTTGGACTATAAAGAAAGCTGAGCGCTGAAGAATTGATGCTTTTGAACTGTGGTGTTGGAGAAGACTCTTGAGAGTCCCTTGGATGCAAGATCCAACCAGTCCATCCTAAAGGAGATCAGTCCTGGGTGTGCATTGGAAGGACTGATGTTGAAGCTGAAACTTTGGCCACCTGATGCAAAGAGCTGACTCATTTGAAAAGACCTTGATGCTGGGAAAGATAGAAGGTGCGAGGAGAAGGGGACGACAAAGGATGAGACGGTTGGATGGCATCACCAACCCAATGGACATGGGTTTGGGTGGACTCCGGGAGTTGGTGATGGACAGGGAGGCCTGGTGTGCTGCGGTTCATGGGGTCGCAAAGAGTCGGACACAACTGAGCAACTGAACTGAACTGAACCCCTACAATGTGCTGTAATATTCAGTTCAGTTCAGTTCAGGCACTCAGTCGTGTCTGACTCTTTGCGACCCCATGAATTGCAGCACGCCAGGCCTCCCTGTCCATCACCAACTCCCGGAATCCACCCAAACCCATGTCCATTGGGTTGGTGATGCCAACCAACCGTCTCATCCTGTTGTCCCCTTCTCCTCCCACCCTCAAATCTTTCCTAGCATCAGGGTCTTTTCCAATGAGTAAGTT